TTGATAAGCTGACTTTAATTAACTTTATGATGTGTTACTAAATTTGAAAAAACACTTTTTTTGTTACCAGCTCCTCGGTACTATGGAACCCACACCGTCATTGGCAACAAGTGGAACTACCCGTTTAGAGTGGGCCAGTCAAGGGAAAGTAATCGGTACCGGGTGGACCTGGCCTTGGCGCCGCCTCACTACAGTCAGCTGTCTCAGAGAGGCAAATCAAAGTCAAACCCATTCAGTCTGGCCGACGTCACTGAAGTGGTGAAATCAATTGACTACCGTGACTCGCAGCTTTACAAAACTGATTTGAGTCAGCACAAACAGGTGGACAAAGCAAACAAGGGAAACATAAACGAGTCTGCCTACAGACCGGAGTCAATTGACATGCCTAGTCTGGTTTCCATGGAAATTCTCGAGTCGCAGGGAATTTCACCCAAGAAAGAAGACCAAAAGGATGTGACGCTGCGAGTCACCGAGATGAACCGAATACTCAAAGAGGCAGAAAAGTACTTGAACGACTGCAAAAATGATACGTTTCAGAGGGCAAATGACTCGAAGGGGCTGAAGGCAGCTGAAAACAGTTTATCAAAGTCAGATCAACAGAAAAGTAAGCTAAAAAAATAACTGGTGTTTTAACTTTATTAACAACTTATGTTTTTCAACTTTTTAGTGACCCACTCAGTCACCCCCTCAGCATCTTCTGATCTAGTTGCTCCAGAAAATGCAGCTAATCTGAACACTAATTGCCCCGATTACAACTCCAGTTTTGCCCTGCAAACGAGCGGTTCTCGAATCTCTACGCTGGACATGCTGCCACAGCTGCTGCAGGCCGAGTCAGACCTGGCCGAGGTGGCTCGATCTCTGCAAACACCACCCACGGCAGAGGCTTTTCAGTTTTCGGAGAAAGTTGAGCTAGGCCTAAGTAGCCTTGAGCAGTTGAAAAACTTCAATTTTGAGCGGTCGCCCTCCCCGCATCGACTTTCTCACCTGATCGCAAGTCTGGAGGCGGCGCAGCAGCATCTGGCGAGTGATGTCATTGACTTGAGGAGCACACCACCACCAGCACCTCTTCAAATGGTGACCGATATTCAGCTGGCGACAACGGCTCAATCGTCGGCACTTGCTCAGACAATCGACCTGCCCTTTATTGATGAGAACGGTGATGTGAAGGGCAAGAGTAGTAGTAATTTTCAACAGCAACAGCAAAAACTAATTGTACAGCAGCAAAAAAGTGTAGACACCTCTCGTGTGGTTGCCGAGCTTGACAACCTCTGTGATACCCTCTTTGAGATGAAGTGTTCGCTGGGCGAGGCTAAAAATTTACCAACAACAGATAAAGATACTGATGAACTTAAACAACAGCAATTAAGTGAAGAAAAAACAAAAACAACAGAAAACAAACGCAGACATCAGATTGAGGAAGAGGTGAAAAAGCAAAAGGAGCAGCAACAACTTCAATTGCAACATCAACTGCTTGATGAGAATCTACTGTTCACCTTTGATCAGCTAACGGCGTCCATCAACAAGCTAATACTGGAGGGCACAGAACAGGCGGCAGACGGCAAAGAGTCACCCACCAAAATGGTCATCCCACCGCCGCCGCCTGATTCACCGACGCAGCTGAAAGAGCAGGATGAAATTATTAAACGTTTCTGGGAGGCAACAGAAGACGTTAAAACGATGATTACCTTTAGAAAGCAAAAGCAACTGCAACGGCAACAGCAACAACAACAACAATCTGCGCGTCTACAACAGCAGCAACAGGAAAAGCAACCGAAACAAACAAAAGACCACCACCAAAAGCTGCTGCATCTTGAACGTAAACAGGCGCACTTGCAGCATCAGTTTACAACAATGCAAAACTGTGTGGTTGATATTAGTGAGTGCAATACAACGACCTCAGCTAGTGGCCAGTTTTCTTCTGACTCTACGGCAGTCAACAGCAGCTCAGACTCTGAATCAGATGTCACTTTGGGTAATTCCTGTTTTCAGCTACCCGACGACAGCAGCGCTATGCAAAGGTACTTTCAAAGACATAAACAACAGCAGCAGCAACAACAGCAGCAACTGCTAGAGCAGCAACAACAACAACAACAACTTTTTGTCAGTTCAGCTAATCAGCAAATGATTGAACAGGTCAACACTCGTTTCCCTTTTACTAATGTCAACCTTCGACACTACCAGCACTACCAACCTCGAGGGCCCCAGTTGGGAACTTTTGAGAATACTAGTCACTTTCCGACTTCAATGATGCCCCACATTGGTGTGCTTCAGCATCAACAGCAACAGCCGCAACAGCAGTTTCTGCTCAATGAGAATCTTTTCTACCCAATGACGACGACTGCCGGCACTGTTTCTCACTTTGGCGTTCACCCGGGAAATCTTGACGTGAACAATACTCAGGTATTGTAAATCAAAGTGGTTACCTTTGTTAGTATTATAATATAACGTTTGTTTTTTACCAGCAATTTCCGCCTCAAATGTTGCAGCATCCACTGGAGATCTTCGCCAACAGCAATGGCCAGCAGCAAATGTCAGTTTTGCTACCACGAACAACATCGCCACCGCCGGCAAATCTAACGGCACCAATAAACTCTTCACTGGATTTGCAATCAGCCTACGCTTTCAACAATTTACAAGCTTTTCTAGTTGAATCCTCCTCCGCCTCATCTTCTCCGCCGTCGTCTGGCAATCAACAGCAGCAACAACCACCTCATGAGATGATGATCTACACGTCACCCTTTCAACCGTCACCTCACTCGTCACCCTTTTTGCCACCACTATCATCACCTTTAGTGTGCACCAACGAGGCCATTCCGCCAATGTACGTCGCTCCTGCTCAACCGTCGGCGATGATGGCACCACTCAACACCAGTGGCACTCACCACCCTCTAATGGGGCCACCACTCACCCAAAATGCTTCTGACTTACAGTCGAATCGCTCTCAATCGTTGACACTGTTGCCAACATGTGCGTTTGGCACTCACAGTGTCGGCCACTTTGTCACCTCTTCAACGCCGCCGCCAGCCTTTCCGTCCTCTACGCCGGCGGTTGACTTGAACAGTCTGCTTTTGGGCACTACTACTGCCGCTGCTGCCACTTCTGGCATGGTTCCACCAGCCTATACCACTCACTTTACACACACGCCCACGACAGACAACAATGGCAGCAACGGCAGCGCACCCACAGCACCAAACAACAGTAGTTCTCCGATGATCATCAACAACTTGTTCTACTCTACTGCCTTCAACTCAACTGACCGCGGCAGCCCACGCAACTTTCCCAAGCCTCCTCTGCCGCCAAGTGTACAGCCCTACCTCAAGGAGAAACGCCACCGTCAACAACAACAGATTAAGGTGTTGCCGGGCGAAAGTCAAACAAGGTAAAATACATTTGATAATATTGGTTAAACGCATAGTTTACTAACAAGCAAGCATTTTGTTTTTGCCTGTTTTCAGTGTCAAAAGTCTAATGTACCCTGGATCATCATCATCATCATCCAGTCCTGATGTTACTGCTCTAGTGAGCAGTGACGAGCACAGTGCGCCCAGTCACCCCCCACCGCCGTACAACAGTCCCCAGCATCACCACCACCACCACCACCATCATCATCATCATCAAGAGAAGCACTCTCACAAAAACAGCTCCAGTGACCACTCTTCAGGTTGCGATGCAGGTGGTGACCAGTACTTTCTGCCAGGCATGGGCTCCACCATTGTCCTGAAGGGAGCGTGCAGTGATGAGGGCGCAGTAATGGAGGGAGGCGTCGTGGTGGATGCTGAATCTTCTGTCACCACCAACTCCGCCGTCAATCAGCTCACTAGCGGCAGCGGCAGCAGTTCAATGCTGTACCATGCGCCCATTCCCGAGTCAAAGCGCATCTGTTTCCAAACGAAGGAGATGGAGGAGATCTTCAACCAGTCACAGTACGACATTGACACGCTTCTGGTGAGACTGGAGGAGGTGCATGAGAGTCGGCTGAGACAAGCTGCCTCCACCAAGTCTCATCATCATCAACAAAAATTGCTGGAACTAAAAAACAAAAATGGCAGTTACCAGCAGCAGCACCACAACAAAGACGGCTCTGAGGAAGGAAGAGGAGGAGGAGGAGGAGGAACACCACCACCGCCATCTTTGCCGCCATCAAGCGCTCGCGAGACGCTGATCGTCGAGTCGCGCCACTTTGTGACCGCCTCAAAGTTCTTTGTGAAATGCGCCACCGAGGGCAGCTTCCAGCTGATCGACTACCTGACGGAGTGCGTCACCCTCCTCGAGCGGATGTTCCACGCCTCGGAGACGGTCATCTTCGAGATGGAGTCCGACGCCCAGGTGACCTGTCTGGTGGACCGCCTGAAGGAGGTGGCCGCCACCTACGCCTACACCGTTGACACTGTCCGCCGGCTGGTCGGATTCTCACCCTCAGCGGAGACGGCTTCGCTGGAGGCCGAAGAAGGAGAGCCGGAAGAGCTGATGTCCGGCGGGAAGCGGCCCAATCCATTCCTCGACCTGCTGATGAACCACGCCACCAGTCTGGCCACCTGTCTCAGTACGCTCATGCGAACGCTCAGAACTATGAGCTAAGCTGCTGCTCAAACCGCACTTTTCTTTTATTTTAAAGACACATTTTTTTCTATTTGTTTTAATGATTATAATTTGGCACAATTTTTAGTTTTAGGAAATTTAGTTTTATTTTACAACTTTTTTTAAAATAAATGTTCAATAGTTTTTGTTCACGGATTTATTTAAACTTTTGTTTTGCTCTAATAAAACTCATTTAAACTCAAACTTTTAATAAATTTATGAGTGTTTGTTGTTTATATTGTTTGTAAAAGTTTTATTTGTAAAATTATCTGGTTTTAGTTTGTACATAAACCATTTTATTTATAAAAAACATACATAAAATTAACAATTGAAAAAATTTATTTAAAATTGATACTCTAAAATAAAATCCCAAATTAAAATACCATCGTTTCATTAAAACCTAAACTGTTGTGTAACCATTGTTATTTAGGGAGAGAGCACTCCTTTTCAATATCAGACACTAAATAGTCCTTGAGTGAAGCGGCAAAGTTGTCCAGTGAACAGCTTGCTTCATGACACAACTTGCTGAATCGTTCCGAGTGATTAAGCTCCAGTCTGGTGAAGGTCGTAGTGAAGTCAGCTATTTGAGCATTATTAGTGACATTAGCGTAGAAGACATGAACGTGGGGCACTTTAGTTTGAGGATGCTTTCGCAGTTCAATGATGACGCCGCTGCCGTAAGTGGGCTGCTCTTTGAGGTAGCCAAGGGCCAACATGACCGGCGAGACCATCGTGTCGTGGGTGCCGTAGAGAAAGAGTTGCCTATTTTTAGCAGTTAGCGGCTCTTTAATTGCAGCAGTTCCCCTCATATTGTCGATTGTCTGCTTCAACAGCAAGCCGGCGCGCAGTTTAACGTACTTAGGCCAGTTAGCGTAAATGGAGAACTGAAAGTCATTAAACTGCTTCAACCGCGCCAGAGTGTCATTGCCAACTTTTGACAGCCATTCGGGCATTTTAAACTGATCGCCAAAAAAGTTTCGTTCCGTGAAGATGGCATCATAAACCCAGCCAACCTAAACAGTGAGTTACAGAAAATGAGTACAAATGAGAACACTTCTGAAGCCCTTTAAAAACAAACAAATAAAAATTTTCAAATTACTTCAATCCAGGAGGNATAAACCCAGCCAACCTAAACAGTGAGTTACAGAAAATGAGTACAAATGAGAACACTTCTGAAGCCCTTTAAAAACAAACAAATAAAAATTTTCAAATTACTTCAATCCAGGAGGGGAAATGCTGACCCGAGTGCTGGCTCACTCTCTGCACAAAGTCCTTGTTCTTCTCCAGGAAAGCCTTCAGCACTGGGTCTTCAGTTGGTATGGCGTTCTTGACGGCTGTTGCCGCGGCACACTCCGTGTCGGGGTTCAGCAACCAGGCACGGGAGCTCTCCGTGGTTTCCACTGCAATCGGTTGCCACAGTTTGGCCAACTCGTGCGACTGTGACCAGTGTGAGGCGTTGGTTGGCGGCACCAGTCCGGCGAGCACCGAAAGTGTCGTCTCGAGGCAACGCCGTTTGAACGAACTTTGCGCCTGCACATTTTTAGCGAGAATGTTTTCTGTTGTTTGTATGTGTGTGTACAAGTAAAGTAATAACGAGTTAAACAATGATTTTACAGCGCAAAAATTTACCAATAAAAACTTACCAACATAAGATGAGTATCGTTTTCGAATAGTTTCACCGTAGTGGTACATTCTTGCTTTACCGCGCAGCGTCAAAGAGCCCAATCCATCGTCCCAAGTGTAGTTGTTATATGGGTCATTGTGGTACAGTGATATTGGTGTTCGATCGCCATGTCTGAAAACAACAATTGTGTAATTTTAAAAACTTTAAAAATTTTTTTAAACATACCTAAAAATGGCCTGAACCAAAATCAACTCTCCAGCGTCATTTTCATTAGAAAGCTCAACAGTTCCAGTTGGTCTTGCTTTTACACTAGTGAAAACAAAAACACTTAAAATGCAAAAACAATGCAAAAAGTTCATTGCATTAAAACGTGCCATTTGTCCAGATGCAACCACCAAATGATTTGTCAATTAACCAATGGTTTTAGCTTTAAAAAGTCAAATCAGTTTTTGGCATGATTATGTCATTTGTTTCTATAGAAATTATCAGTTTCATTGTACGCGCTTTAAGGGGCTTGTGTAGTTCTCAAACTTTGCCCTTTTTCTGTTTCACAACTTCTAATCAACACAAACGTGTGTGAACTCTTATCATTTCTTTCTAGTTTTTATATCAACTTTGCAGTTGTTGATCAAACTTTTCAATTAAAAATTATCTTGTGATATAAACAATTTTTGAAGATAAACATTGATTAGTGTTGTAACTTTTTTCAACTACATTTAAACAATTTATTGTTACGGTTATTTGTTGCATGTGTTACTCAATATTTATGATTAAAGTGATTAAAACAATTTATAATTGTACAACAAAAAACTGTATCGATTTTTTAAAATGAACTTTTTGGAAAAATTTATTGCGCAATAGATGTGCAAATAGCACATTAGAACATTTAAAAAAGGCAAAATAATTTTGATCGTTACATTTTTTTAACCGAGTTCATCTGTTTATGACATTTACAGCTAATTTTAATTGACGTCAAAAGGTTAACGATTTTTAAAATTTACAAGTGTTGTACTTTTTGGCATTAACGCAAAATTGTCAACAAAAGTAATAAAACACAAAAAACATTTTAAGAAACAGTGTTTCTGGCATGTAAAAGGACATAAAAAGTTTATTATTCTTATAAATGTTTGTAAACTTAACTATAAAAAATTTTTAGACACTTTTTAATTAAAAATTATATAGCATGTTTTCCTTTTTCAACAAGTTTTTGCAATTGTAAAGAACCTAATGATAACTAAACTAATGTAACATTTATTAAGTTTATTGTTATTTTTTGTCAAAAAACTCTAGTTTTAAAAATTAAAAATATCAAACACATTCTTCGCTAAAAGTCACAAAACGCAAATAAAATTCCAGTTCGTTACACTTAGTCATTTTATGATTATTTGTTAAAGCAAAACTAAGTTTAAAGGTTTTAACAAATAATAACTAGTTCAGATAGTGGTTTGCCAAGTGCATTCAACTTGTTATTATTTTAGCTGGGTGTCATTTAAGATATATGAAAATTTTCCATTGAAAGTTTATCTTGATTTAACTGTTATCATTTTTAACGTGATGTAAGTCTGGATGTCACCGGAACCTTTTTAATGAGTGATAAATTTGATTTGGTAAACCAGTTAGTCTTGTTGTTTCATCAAGATAGTTTTCAGTGCAAAATATTTCTACTTGATGTAAACGCAAAGTTTTCTAACGATGCGATGTCCTAGCAGCACATGTTGATTTATCATTGCACGATTAGATATTGTCAAAAAATATCGTGTTGCACTAATGACCAAATATTTAAACTGAATTGTTTTGAAACGGTTGTTAGTAAACCAAGACCAAATTCAAACTTTAAAATAACAAATTATTGTTTTTGATTGTTAAAAACAATAATATTTTTGTTTTGAATAAAGTGGAAATGCTGATTTTACATTGTTGTTATCAAACGTTGATTTTTTACAAATCAACACTATCACAAATGCTCTGATTGGGGAAAATAAAGTTTACCAGCTGCACTTTTAGCGCGTGACAAGCAAGTGTGTTGAGGTAGTATAGAAATGTTTCGATAGTCAAGTTATTTTCCAAAAAGTGTTCGGTGCAGATGAATATGTCATTGGGTTTTGTACTGAACTCTAATTGATAACCATAAGTGTTGACGAGTGCACTAAAAGTGATCTAATCAAAAATGGTTAAGGTACTTTTTTGCCCTTATTGGCTGCTACGAACACCAAAGACTTCCCTCCGGATGCAAATAATTGATTATTTAAATTTTTCAATATTATATAAAAGCATTGAATAATGCTAATGTTATTTTTAAAATAGTATTACTGTAACATTTGATTAATACTGTGATATCTTGTATTACACACTTGTTGATTTATTGTTTAATGTTATTGTAATATAAATAAACATGAGTGAAACTAACAAAACTGACATTTTGAGAATCGTCTACACTGCGTTGATTTTTTTCAACAACTTAGCTTATGTAAGTTAACAAAAATTACCCTTTTAAGTTCAATGTCAAGTACATTAATAAAATGTGTTTTATTAATTATATTTTGTTCTTTTTTATCAGGGAATAAGCTTAAACATAATTGGAGCAGTATTGGTTGATTTGAGTTTCTTGTACGGAACTTCAATCGAAACCATATCATCCATCAATTTTACATTTAGTATTGGATACATGATTGGCTCTCTAGGTAAGTTTACATTTAAAAATTTTTTCTTGAAAATTTTAATGTTATAATTTAAATTTCAGTGAGCTTTCTTACTCGATGGATCAACCGCCAACTGCTGCTGTCCTTCCTCGTGATGATGCAGGCGCTGACACTGATGTTTCTGCCCTTCTACCCACACTACTGGTTAGCATTTGTGATGATGGTCCTCAGCAACGTCGGAGCAGGTGGCTGGGACAGTGCCACCAGTCTCTGGCTAGTTGAGCTGTGGCCAACGAAAAACTCGGCCATTCTCCAAGCAAATCAGTTCATGTATGGAACGGGCTCCATCTTGGCTCCACTTCTTGCCGCCCCCTTTCTGCATGGAATCAAAAGCGAAGTTTTAGTTGGAAATGAAACCCGACTGTTGACAGTCGAAGATCGAATCATGTCGCTGAGCATTCCTTTTGGCGTCAATGGCTTTTTGCAAGGCATCGGTGAGTAGACAGCTTCTGACCAAACATAACTTTTATATAATAACATTTACCTTTTTTCAGTTCCCGTAATTTTCTTCCTAATGTACTTTGCATTTCCCTACAAAGCATCTGAAGAGGGTAGTAGAGACAAGGATTCGATTAATTTGAGAAAAGCACCCACTGAAAAGATTCCCCACCGCAACACCAAACTAGTGCTGATGGGACTGTGCCTGGGCACTTTCCTGGCTGCTGAAATGGGTTTTCAAATCTTTGCCCCCTCGATGCTGCAGTATTTGCCCATCAAAATGACTGCAAGTACGGCTGCTTTTGCTCTTTCAATTATGTCTGCCACTTTTACTATTGGTCGTCTAGCAACAGCTTTCATTTCTCTTAAAGTGTCAATTGATATCATCCTCGCCTATCACTTTGTCATTCAGCTTCTTTCAGTGGGCATCTTCTACATCAACTCAAACAACCTCACCATGATTTACATTGGAATGGCCTTAATGGGATATGGTTTCTCAGCGCCTTGGCCGGCAATATTCAGCTTTACCGAAGAGTATCTTGGCCTGACGGCTCGCATTTGCGCTTTTTACACATTTCTCGTAGGAATTACTTGCCTAATTACTCCAATGATATTGACAAACGGCTTTAAAAGTCATCCTTTTGTTCTCATTCATATCACTGGCATTTTAACTGTAATTAGTTGCCTTTTATTTGGCGTTGTTAGATTTTGGATTTGGAGGAATCAAGTTAAACTTGATAACAAAGCTACTAATATAGTTTTGAGTGATGTGAACGCCAATAATCTAAAAAACTGTTAATAAATTAAAATTAAAATATAAACTTTGGTTGTAAATATTTAATTAGTTTTAACATGATTTTTTTGTAAAAAATAAATAAAAGTTTAAAGTTTTATGCAAAAATTTATAAAAATTTAGTTGGCTAGAGCGAACGTCACTGCCACGCGCTTTGCGCGAAAACGAAAGTGAAAGCTTTTAGTGAAAGCCTTTGAACAGGTTCGGAAAAGAACAAGCATAGCAGTTTCCCCGCATGGTTTTAGATGGCACTACGATAAACAGAAATTCGGTCCGTTTTTACCGCTGTTGCTGCACGATAGCGCTATTGTGAGCTGTGTAACAATGTCTGAAAAATTGACCGAATTTCTGGCAGCATTAAATAAAAAATTAATGCTTTTTGAAAAATTGAAAGATTGAAAGTCAAAGTCTAAACTGTGAACTTTAGTTTTCATTTTGTCTTAAAAACATATTTGAGCAAAGTTTGTTAAAAGCATGGTAAATATCCTCAGTTGTCATTAAATTTTGTTCAGAAAGAGTAAATTTATTGCTCATTTCATCATTTGCTGGGCCCTGGCAGCGAGAAAAAAACAAAAGACTTGCAGAAGCACATTACCTCCACCAATACAGCCACTTAACATTGGCAAAACGAGCAACAGAAGCAGTTTTGAGCAAGCATCTCACAATCTCGATCAAACCACAAAAAGTCGTCTTTGCAGGTAAAGAGCTCTTGCATCAGCGATATTGGGATTGCTTCTCACATGCTCACACTTAATTTAGAAGCAAAAAAAGTTTTCTAAGCTAAAATCCAATTGCATCTATCCAAAAATTTAGCAAATAAAGTTGCTTTTTTCAGTTTGACAGTGTTGACTAAACTGAGAATTGAACAACATTAATGGCAACTGAGGACACTTGCCATTCATTTAACAAACTTCGCTTAGACATGGCCCTTTTGAACAAATTAAAAACTGAAGTTGACAGTTTAGACTTTGACTTTCAATCTTTCAATCTTCCGAAAAACATTAACTTTTGATTTAATGCTGCCAGAAATTCGGTCAATTTTTCAGACATTTTTACACAACCCACAATAGCGCTATCGTGCAGCAACAGCGGTAAAAGCGGACCGAATTTCTGTTTATCGTAGTGCCATCTGAAACCATGCGGGGAAACTGCTATGTTTGTTTTTTCCAATGTTTTGGTCTTATAAACAAAAAATAGAACTTTTTTGTGGGATTCTAATAAAGAGTGACAACAAATTCACATAAGCAATGTCCCCAAAATTTTCACATACTCAAAAATTGTTGAGTATAACATTATTGGAAAGGTAAAATTGCCCTGATTACTAATATGTAAATACAGGCAAAACTCACACTACATAATGGTTCGCAAGTACATAATGGCAATCAGCCTATCCCTAAAAAAATGAATTTTCTCCATTTCTCTGTCTTCA